TAAGTGTGAGAACTTGCACAATTGGTGGCTGACTAAATACTTTTTTGCCCCACTGTATATATATATATATATATATATATATATTCCTATGAAACATTTTAGGACTCGCTATTTGGCCGATCCAATACTTCCCCATTAAATCATAGTACATTAAAAAATTGCATCACTGTTTGGATCTCGACCTAAAATAACTCTGCTTCATACATCAGTGTTTTTGGACATGAATCATTGAGAACTTGATCACTGTTGATTTCCTAAGAATTCCTGAGGCTGTCTCAGCTGCAGACACGTGTGGGTTTTCCTCACACCAGAACCCTGGTGGCTGCACCGCCGCGGTGTTCTGCTTTCCCTCAGAAATCAACACATCCGAGCCGGGCCTCCCTAGCTCCTACTCTCCTCCACTCCACAGGAGAAACAACAGGCACACCCCGGTCTGCATCACCGAGGGCCTTTCAAGATATTTCAGTCAAATTCCTGCTCTCTCCACATGTTTAGGATCACCAGGGCCCACTTTGAGGTGGCTTTAATTGTAACATGGAGAGAGCGACAGAAAAAGAGGGAGAGACAGGGTTCCTCAGAGTGTGAAATTGTGTCTGTTAGTATGTGGCACAGTCAGAAGTGTTTCAAAGCAAACCGCCGCTCTCCTGATGAGAAGACTTCAAAACCTTGTCGCAGGCCTGCTGTTTGATCATGCCCAAAAAAGCTTGCCTTTTTAAAGACGAGTGAAAATGAGCCTATTGTGCTTCAGCCCACAAAGGCGGTTAAGATTCATTTGGCAATGGAGCACACTTGTAAAGCCTGTCTGAAACGAGTCTGTTTTTATGTGAGAACTCGGGGAGTCATTGAGAGACCTTTTTTCCTGTTACAGAAACAGCAGGTAGTAAACGACAAGGTGAAGAACAAAAGAGTTTCCAATTTAAAGGTGAACGTGAACATTTCTGCACCACTAGCAGATATGGAACTGCTAAAATCATTTCCAACCAGTTTTCCTAAATACTAATTCCACTTTCCATTGAAATTAGAACTAAATTAGAATATTTTAATTAGAATAAGTGTTTTTCCACCATGGTCCATAAACTGTTCTTTTATTAAAACATAATTTAAACCACTGTTCAAAAGGCTTTAATGGTTTTGAAAGAATTATCTTATGCTCACCAAGGCTGCATTTATTTGATCAAAAATACAGCAAAACATTAATACATTTAATATTACAATTCAAAATATATTTTTTTAAATATATTTTAAAATATAATTTATTCCTGTAATAGCAAAGCTGAATTTTTTATTTTTTTCATGATCCTTCAGAAATAATTATAATAGGCTGATTTAGTGCACAAGAAACATTTCTTATGACTATAAATGTTGAAAAGAGTTATGTAAAAATATTTTTGTGGAAACTGTGATATGTTTTTTTCAAAATTCTTTGATGAATAGAAAGTTCAAAAGAACAATATTTGACTGTTCCAGAGTTAAATCTTCACTGTTGGTTTTGTTCATGCATTTTCATGCATAATTGCTGAATAGAAGTATTAATTTCTTTAAAAAAAAAAAAACTGAACCCAAATTTTTGAATGGTATTTAAAAACGACATCAGTTTTTTCCCTCCATTTCATTCCATTTTAATTTTCTATCTTAGAAATTTTGGAATTTTAAATACATCCTCAATTCATTTCAGAATAGCATGCAGACTACTGTTTCATCAGAATAAGAAACATCTTGATAAAGTGGAGTAAACAAAAAAATGATTTCCCACCTGGGGTATATCAGCGATGTCTCCCAGTCTTGGTTTTCCTGGAGTCCAGCCTGGCCCTTTAAAAATGACGGACAGCTTATTTGAAATTCCTTCAGCTTCCCAGAACCTCTGCCATAGGTATGGGTAATAAAGGAACTTTAGAGAGGAAAGAAAAGAAGAATGAGGCTATAAACCATACATGGCACATGCATCCTTAACATTAAGCGACCTCTTTAATGCTGCATTACCTAAAATGACTTCTCTCAACTATGACAATGAAATACTACCCTTCTGATTTGTATTTTATTCATTTTTCAGACTTTTCATCTCACTTATTTGTTTATATTTCACCGTAAGATAAACATTATTCTAATTCATTTTATTCATCATCATCTCGTCTTTGCGTCTAAATGCTTTTTGTCACACACATCAGATCACTCTTACTCCAGACCGCCACAAGAGAGCACCGAAAAAATAATCAAACACAACCTCCATTTGGTTTTGCAGAACTCTTTCACCTCTCATGAGCCGTATGTTTAAAGTGGAGTAATAATGTTATGGTTACAGCATGGCTTTTCCACTAGCACGGTAATGTGAGGAGAAGCCCAGCTCCCGGTGACTCTGGTCGGATATTTACATCTCTAAAATTAGGCCGGTCTGATACACTAGAGTCCATTATGTGAAACCCAATTCATCTCCAGTGTTGATATTTTCACTAGTCAAAGGTCTTGATAAAATGTGGGGGCAAATTAATCTAAACATTTTGTTTATGAATGATGTAAACTTGGATTTCATACTGTGATCACTGAGCCCATGTATGTTACAATAATACCATAGTAAAAAACTAACCCTAAAACAGACATTATGCAAAACTTGAAAACAGGATACATTTTACGCTGAGAAATAAGGAAATAAAGCATTTTACAAAAAATAACAAATTAAAAATATTACTGTAATATTAGTATTAATATGTCAAACCATGACAATAAATGAATTAATTATTAAATTAAAAATAAATATCTTTATTAGAATTTATACAAAATTCTGACTAACCTCAACAGTCCAGATTTGAAACGTGCTGATTGGGTGTGTGAGCCCATAGACAACCTTATCACTTTCAGGAGCGAATGTACCTATGATGGAAAGAAGCAGAGAACATCACATTTTCAAAGTGACTTGCATGTGTGTTCATACGTCACAATTTACAAGAAAAGTGCATTACAGATCATTTGTTGAGAAGTAACAGGTCTTTTGTGCTTTGTGACCTTTTTATTACTCCAGACAGTAGAAAGACGACATCAAATAATAGGGAGAGAGAGTTTAATGGATGCATGTGCTGCTAGGGCTCATTTTCAGACAACAACTATTGGTTGACATTTTACTTACCAAACATCCTGTCCCATATGATCAGAATTCCTGCATAATTCTTATCGATGCAATATGGATTTCGCCCTGTGAATTCATGGTCAAATGTTACTGATTCACTTCATACATAATCACTGGTCATTATGGCATCTCTGTTAACAGGTGTAAAATGTTTAAGGGTATAGCCAGTATTAACAGTGTTACTTAAGTCACATGATAAGATCTCAATGACAATACATGCTTAGCTTTTGACCCACAGTGATAAACTGAGCAATACCAATGCGCTATGGGAACAGTGCAATGCAACTCTACTGTCAAAGGTAATAATGCTTACCATGATGAACTCTGTGGTGGCTGGGAGTATTTAGGATCCACTCCAGAGGTCCAAGATCTTTGACCAGCTAGTGACAGAAACACAAGGTCACAGATTATATTCTTACAAAACCTTTCGAGTTACAAAAAGGATGCAAAGCACCATAAAATATGATAAAAGTAGTGCATGTGACTTGTGTGCTATATTCCAAGTCTTCTGAAGTAATATGTGACTCTGGACCACAAAACCAGTCTTAAGTCGCTTGGGTATATTTGTAGCAATAGTCAAAAATACATTGTATGGGTCAAAATTATCGATTTTTCTTTTATGCCAAAAATCATTAGGATATTAAGTAAAGGTCATGTTCCATGAAGATATTTTGTAAATTTCCTACCGTAAATATATCAAAACTTAATTTTTGATTAGTAATATGCATTGCTAAGGACTTCATTTGGACAACTTTAAAGGCAATTTTCTTTTTTATTTAGATTTTTTTTGCACCCTCAGATTCCAGATTTTCAAATAGCTGTATCTCGGCCAAATATTGTCCTATCCTAACAAACCATACATCAACAGAACATTTATTTATTCAGCTTTCAGAGGATGTATAAATCTCAATTTAAAAAAATTGACCATTATGACTGGTTTTGTTGTCAAGGGACACATATGATTATTTTTTTATAGCGTAATATGACAGTATTCACTGATGATCTGAATCAGTTGATCTAGTTCACAAAACCCATCTGATTGATTATCACTGAATAATGACCTAAATTTGAATCCGTTTCTGACGCAAGCCACTTTTATAGTGCTTTTATGTCATTTTTCAGCTTGAAAGCTTGCATGGGCAAAAACGACTAGAACATTCCTTCTTTTGTGTTCTACAGAAGAAATAAAGTCATACAGGTTTAGAATGACTTTATTGTAAGTAAATGATGACAGAATTTTCATTTTTTGGTGAACTCTCTCTTTAACCTCACTAATAACTATTTCCTTTCATGCACGAAGGGGCAACAGCAACAGGTCGTTCCTATATGCAGTATGTAAACCACAGACAAAACACCAAAAGACAAATGATCACGGGTTAGCACATTGTCCTCCTTTGACATTTTTCATATGGACAGGCAGACCGAATCTTAATATTAGTCTTACATACAGCATGTGATTCATTTTCCCTATTGAGTGCCTTGTCTTTATCTTGGCTTCAAACGCTGAAGAAATGTGCTCTTAAGGGATTGTGGAACCTTGACTGGTTCAGATGTTCACAAATGTACTTGGAGACATCATTAATACATAGTGTTTTCTTATCTGATGAGCTCGGTCGAAACTCCGCTAACTACGGAAAGAGAAAGGTGGCCAAATTTCCAGATGGAAAGAACATTATTTATAGATTGGAAGTAAAACAAACATTACATTGGATTAGAAGACGCATATAGAAGCCAATGCACCTGATAACGCACACTCATTAATATGCGTGTGTCACTGCACAAGCTTTATGGCGAGTTAAATGCACACATACACACTCCGTGCCTTATTTTACCAGGATATAAACATCCATTTGAGCTTGATGAGGTATATATCGCAAGTGTTAGAGCCGACCATCAGGTTTTTTACTTGAGTACTTGATTTCTGACGTCTGCAAAATGGGAACAGCTCAGTGTAAGTGAGAGCCATATTTCAGTGGGCCATTATTTTCATGTAATGAGAGATCTGGCAACAGCTGAATTCTATCTTAAAAGAAAGGAGCTCCCTCACAATTTAACTCGCATTCTAATGTTGGATGAGGACTGGGAATTCGATGCCAATAAATTACACGACATCAAAAAAAGCCTATAAAGGGAGCATAAATTATACCCTTCAGAAAACTGGAGACGTGAAGACTGTTTTCACTAATAGAGCTCTACAAGATGGAAGTGATTCCAAATCCATTTCCTAAATGATCCCCGAATGTAAAGCCGATACTGAAGGCCATTTAAATGGCAAATGTAAAGCTTCTGTTTGGAATATTTCATAAAATCGCAAAATCTCATTACTTATGATAGACTGTGGTATTCAGAACCACAGAACGGGCAAAACTACAAATGGTTAGAGTTTTGAAAATGGCTACACATGCTATGAAACTTAACCTGGAACGGTCAAGAAATTGCTTATAATATGTCACTAAAAGATTCAAAATAGTACTAAAATGTGCTAAACAATTAGTAGAGACAAATCTCACAGTACCTCAGTATGAATCCAGAACTGATAGAGCAGGTTAAACTGTACGTGCACTGCAAAAACTGACGGAGGGACCATCAGCGCCAACGGAAGGTAAAACGCCTGATAAAACACATCAGATATTATCACTTCATAATAGGCCATTAGCTACATTGTTAGAGCTCATTAACTAATGATCTATCATGTATCATGCCAAAATTATCACAGATTAATTAGTGAGATGCAGGTACTTCATACCCATGAGGAAAACTGCTGGGTGACAGACTGGCGTAGTGCTGTCGACAGATTGTAGTATTCAGAACTGTGGTGAACCTGATGGGCAGCCCACAGGATGTTTAACTCTGAAACGACAAAAAGAGAGACAGATATAGCGGAATGATAGTTTTGAAACATTGTGGAGAATGTGAAACAATGATAAGCAGCAATGAAAGAGACTCATTTATATATTTTGGCTTTAGACATTTTTTATTCGCAAATGCTCCACATTTGACCGGTGCTGGTTCTGGTGCTATATTAAATCTCTTGCTCTTTCTGGACTATTGAAACAGCAACTTTTCTGTAATTTACTGGTTCTCAAAAAAAAAAATATATATATTTATATATACAGTATATACTGTAAATTATATATATATAAATTCAGCTTAAAAAAAGAGGAAAGGGACCATCTTTTTGGGAAGTAAGGTTTGTCTGCATCCTTCTGAATATCCACCACGAGAAAGAAAAATGAACCTAAATACAATGAAACTCCAAATGGAAATATTTTTTAAACATTTATTCTAAAAATAAAATAAAATAAAAAGTACCTGAAGTTTCTGTGGATTCTAGCATTTGCAACATTTTTACATTTTCTCAATAAAATACATCAAGTTAAAAAAAAATTTTTTTTTAAACTCCACCAGATTCTCAATAATATTCTGGTCCCTTGATATCCCTTGGCTCGAGTACCTCCTTCAGTGGAAGTCTACGGGATTGCCTAAACAAGCACCTCTAATGAGGTTGCAAACACTGTCAAATCTCTTTAGGATTTTTCTCTGAGATAGTCGAAGGCCTTGTGTAAGTTTGAGGTCCATCAAATCTAAGAATTGGTGAAGTTCCCGAAGAAATGCTGCGATCCAGCTGACAAAACACACCGTGGTGATAGTGCAAGAACGAAACCTTCCTCTCTGCCAGTAGGGTTCTGCTGAGAAGTTAAAATCACCAGGCCAGCAAAGTGAGCAGTCAAAGCTTTCCATTGAGAAAACAACATCAACCTGTCCACTTAATCCAGATAGCAAAACCATGGAAGTGATGCTATGTTTTTACTCACACACTATGCATTTTCAATGCATTTTAAGTGCAATGCAATTATATATAAATATTAATAAAATAAAAATAGTAATGTTACAATAAAAGTGTAATTTTACTTGCATCACCAAACAGAATTGCAAACAAAATGACATGAAAATTTGGTTTCCCTAAACATTCCCCCTTGCTATTGGTTGAACAAACAGATAGTCCCGCCCCAAACTAACGCCATTGGTTGTTCTGACAGATTATTTTTAGTTGTCTCTGCATATCACGCTGATATAGATGTATTTTACATTAAAAATATATACAATTCAGCGTTAAATTCCAACCTTTAAGTGAAGTATTGCGTAAGCTAATACTACTTTTTTTTGTAAATGACACTCTTTAGAGCTTTCTGCTTCAAATCAAGAGATGAAATGAGAGGTTTTGCTCAAAACACACCCGCAGAGCTCCAGTCATTGCTTGAGAGTATGTGAGCCCATGTTTTCACCTCCTAGGGCAGAGCAGTGTAAGATTGATGTGGGGTGTCACCGGTAGGAAGTATGTTCAGTTAGGCCTCATTGCAATCCATGTCCTCGTGCGCCGACCTCGGCTGGAAGCCGCATAGTTTGGCAGGCAGTATTCAGAGGGGAAGAGATTTAATGATGAGAACCTCTGCCACAGAAAAGACTTTCCCATCATGCCTAAAGACCATGGTCTGCTCAGACACGGAGACAGTTTTCTTTTCTCAAGAATACAGGGATAAATGGTTGCAGAAAAAGCAGTGTGTACTATAAAAGGATATAAAAGTATTAGTTTGGTCCCAACACTTGAGAGATAACATACAACTGTAGTTAATTCATAGTCACAATCATAATTTGCTAGTTCGTTAGAGTGGGATAAATAACAATAATAAAATTATGATAAGAGAAAAAAATTATGTATTATTATTATTATTACTTTTGATGATTCATTCTGCGCTACACAGATTTTTGTCCAATCAATATTATTATTATAATTATAATAATTATTATTAGTAGTAGTAGTAGTAGTAGTAGTGATCAAATACAAATATTTGTAGCACAGAATGGGTCATCAAAATGATCAATAATATCATACAAAAAGGGTAATAAAAATAGAATTAGCATATATAGTAGATGACCTCAAAGCTAATATACCTGGGGCCTGTTTCATAAAACAAGTTTACCAAATAAGCCAGGCTTATTTCAGTTAGTCTGATTTATTTTGAAACAAATCAACTGACAATAATTCAGACTAACAGAAATAAACCTGGAGCCTGTGTCATAAAACAAGTTTACCAAATAAGCCAGGTTTATTTCAGTTAGACTTGTTATTGTCAGCTGATTTGGTTCTAATCAGAGTCAGATTTAATTCAAAATAAGTCAGACTAACTGAAATAAGCCTGGCTTATTTGGTAAACTTGTTTTATGAAACAGGCCCCAGGACTAAAAATTTAATTATTATATTTTATTATACATTATTATTGTATATTATACAATAATAATGTATTCATGACTTTTACGTATATTTTAAGCACAACAAAATTCACCTTAAAGTTCAGGGTCTATTGTTCTTAAATCGCTCTTATCTATAAACTCTGGTGTGAATGCAAAGTACAGGAACAGAAATATACAGACTCACATGCAGTTACCATAAGTCACGGTACATCTGTAACAGTAGATATGAATTGGGTGAGAGGCCTTTACACAAGGTGAAGGGTTAAACCAACAACAAAATACACTGATTATACCATTGTGCATTGCAGCTCACAGTTTAAAGAGTACTGTAGAAACATTATGAAAGAAACAATAAATTCAATCTCTCTACTTGCAAATATGTTCATGTATTTTTAATGTGCTAAACATTTGCACTTTCAAAAACCTAATTATAAAACTATAAGGGACCAAGAACACTTGGCAGTCAAGCTGTTTTCATCACATGCACTAAATAATGAGTTTTCCCTTTTTATCTAACATGCGAATATCCCCTCACTTCTAGTGCCACCCTCAGACTCGCTCCTACATGATGCCACGGGCCTCGCTGAGACTCAACGTAGCGAGAGACTGCATGCCATGTCATTCAGGTTATCAATGAACTGTGAACGTCTGGGTAGAGTGGACAAGCTGTCTGCGAACAAGAGAGGCCAACACAAACAGTCAGCCAAAGCAACCAAAACCATGTCTGTCACCACAACACTTCACAATGTCTTCGCTCACAGTCAAAACTGCTGCTGGAGACATTTGTAAAAAGAATGGTATATTTCAAATGACACCACACATAAATAATCATGGCTGATGTTCAGAAAAAACAGTGCATTTGTTAATTGTTAATAAACAATAGATTAAGGCCATGTCCACATGTACACGGGAGTTTTTCCTTCTTCCGTTTTAAAAAAGAAATCTCCGTCCACATGAAAACGCAAACGCATGCTATGAAGCACTGTCAAGAGCATGCCAAACCAACAGGTGGCGATATTATCTCAACTGTAAAGCCATGTTGGCCAATCAGAAGTCTGAAAAAGTTTCCAGTAGGCGGAGATAACAGCGCAGGCTCCGATGTCAAAAGCCACAAACTCCGGTTTTGATGTCGACACGATAACACTGCAACCGGAGTTTTTGAAAATCTTCACCCAGGCAGGCGTTTTCAAAAATGTTTGGTTTCAGTTACCTGGTGCTGCGTTTGCGCGTGGACGAACAGCCAAACCACATAGAAAAAGCTGCAGTTTAAAAAATAACCGCGTTCGTGTGGACAGGGCCTAATACTGAGCAATAAAAACTGCATACCAACGTACATTTTGAGGTATACTCACACAGGAGCTATAAATACTATTACAGTGTGAGAATTAACTTGCGCTAGTCTAAAGATGCGCGTGGCTTCGGCAAAACATTCGCGCGACCCCTGTCAAAATAATTTACATGGCCAATCAAATCAAAGTTGGTGGGGTTTCCTGTCCACAGAAGCAGACCTCAAATTCCTGCGCAAAGCGTCAGTTTAACGTTGAACGAGAGCAAGGTAGGATGGGAGCTGCAAATCATTTAATATTAGTCAACTGTTTTATGATAGAAATTTTAAATGACAGACCGCTATATCCAGTGATACAGCTCAATTTTTTTTTCTCTCAAATATGGCCATTTTGAGAGATAGAGAGAGAGAAAGAGAGAGAAAGAGAGAGAGAAAGAGATTAAAGTTAATTAATTAATGAGAGAATTTTCATTTTTGGGTGAACTAATCCTTTAAATATATAAAACAGTATATATAAATCCCTAAGTAGTTAATTATTCTAAAGAAGTAAAGAAGTAGCAAGTCACTTTTTTGTTCCTGATGAATCACTTGAATGATTGACTCAGTAACTCACTCATAAAGATAGTATAATTTTTCATGTATTTTCTTAACATATTCTATTACTAAAGGTAATGATTACTTGTTTATGTTGAGTAACCGCTCTGACAGATTCAATGAGTTTAAAGAGCCATTAGACTAATTTAACTTGTGAATTCTGTTTGAATGATTCATTAAAGGGCTAGCTCGTAAGAACTGTTGAATCACACTACACTAGCTGTGATGTATGCTTTTGTTTCACTAAAAAGAACTGGTTTAAATAAGTCATTGGTTATTGAATAAGATTACATGTTATTACTTTCAGCCTGCAAGAAAAACGCAAAGTAAATGTGTTTTTCTCACCATAAATTGGCAAAATACTGCCTTTTTTTAATCTTACAACATTCAATTAGGACTGCAAACACAGCTAAAATGGCAACTTTTGCCTTGTGGTTGTAAATTCATCAGTGGGGTCTGCCACTGAAATCCAGTGCAGGAAACACTGGCATACAGTAAATGATCAATCTTGGTATTTTAAGATTAGATAGCAAAATCAAGTTCAAACGAAGATTGCGATTAATTATAAAAATATTTTTAACCAGCCCTACTTCACACATGGCTCTATCCTGAATGATAAAATATTAGACACAGCAAGAGACATCCCTCAGACTGACTTGGTCTGGCCTTGTCCAAAAATCACATACACACACTCGCCTACAAACACAAGTGGCTGATT